TAAAAATCACCTGAGAACAGTTTTCTGAGGCTCACTAACAATGTCAGTTTCAGGAGGCAGAGCCCTCTCCTGTTCTTCGATAATTGCTGTTGCTCTTGCCCGGGAGGACAGGCTGGGAGGGCAAAGGCTGAGCAAAAGATTGCCCTGGAACAAGGCAGTGCAACTGCTGCCTCTCTGTGAACTGCAGCTTTTGGCCTCTTGGCCTCCAAATTTTTTTGGTGAGCAAGTCATCTTATTGTATAAGTGAAATGCATCCTAATAGTCTGTGCATGATGGATTGGAAAAGGCTTTACACACTGGAAAGGTTGTTGAACAATATAGTTTCCACTTACAAAGCACTTTCCTTAAAAAGCTTCTCAGGGCAGCATCGTATAAAAATAGTATACTAAAGTTGTGAACCCAGCTTCTGACAAATCAGGACTAACAAAAGCTAAGGTATAAATAGAAGTGTTTTCATGGGTTTTCTCTTCTCTAGAGGCACACATTCTCAATCAGTGCTGGATTGTAAGAAACAAAAATGCCCTTTTCCAGACACACAGGAAAACAAGGACCTTACAGACTAGTGGCACAGAATATAAATAGGTTTTCAAAACTGCTTCAAACCCATAAAAATTAGTCAAAACCATGACATTTGTATTTAAGAATGAGCCACAGCATATCAAACAATTTTAAAATCCATTTATTTTATTTCAAACAAACTAGCATCTCCTGCTTTACAGAAAGGTTAAATACATTATACTTTCATAATTATGGAATGAATTGTCTCCAGGCACTCAAGGATATGAGGATTATCTCGAAGTCTGCAGCATATTAGAATTCCCAGAAGACAAATGCTGAAGAATGTAAAATATTACATACTCTGTATTTATATTTTGTCAGTGGGCACTCTCAATGCACCTTACTGGTAATTTTCAAATTAATTTTTTGTGAAGCAGGTTAGAATTATTTTTCTTAGAGCAATTTTGAAACAGCTAAATGTAAATCTACTATTTTCTATTCCAGTGTTTGTGTAATCTTGATTTTACTCTGAGCCTGTTCCTTCTAGTGCTCTGTGCAGACCTTTTCTGAATCTACCAAACCCAATGTACTTTAATCCACAATACCAAAGAAGGAAGGTCTGTTTCTGTAAGCCAAAAATAGCTCTTACTGCAGTTAACCTTGCAGCTGAACCAGTTGTGCTATTGCTCTTTTAGTCAGTCATGTTTGACCAGTCACGTCTGCACAGACCAGAAGCAAGGCTGAGCAGGGTATCTACATAATCAGTCTGATGCATGACACTGTTCTCAGTGCAGCAGGTCCTCTGTTGAAAACCCCCCTCACAAAACATTCACTTACCAACAACTGCATTTATGATACCCTTTGGGTCTGTGATAGCTGGGCTTTGCTGATACTGTCTGCTTCAGTCTCTGTATGAGAAGTGAGGATTTCAGAAAAAGTTTACTGGCATCAAATCCTTCTGTATATTCTCCAATCACCCTGTAATCTTTTCTCTTGCAAAAAGATGCTAGGGGGCCTTATTCCATTTTGGATGGGAGTCTGCTGTTCTCTCCCTTTTCTGCTTTCAGAGCCACTTATCATTGTTCAGCCACACTAAAAGGGACATCCCCAGCCATCTCACAAACTCAGAGCATCATCTGTGAGCAGAAAGCCACTGTAACATTGCAGGGAGAACTTACACTCCATCTCACTGGCACACAGACTAAGGCCTGGGTGACACGTGGTTAGTCTTTTTTTTTGTTCCTGTAGCCAACAGTGCAGCAATTATTAAAGAAAAAACCAGAAAGACACTATTCTCCTCCATGCTGCTGCCAGGTAACAGTTTATGCCATTTGACACCAGATATGCTGAGAACTACTCATTAAAATATTTGGCTACTTCAATTTCCCAGTGATCACTGTAAAAAATGTTCTTCCTGCTAGAGCTACAGCAGAACAGATCTGCATGCTGAAATCCTACTCCTGTCTGTAACAACAGCACCAAAATAGCTTTAATAATTAATCGTGCAGTGATTAGATTACAAACTCTGAGGTGGGATGGAGATTTTTGTATTATGCATCAGACAAAAGACACTGGCAATGCTTAACTAGCAGTCACCTGCTCCTGCTCCACCTGCCATTGTGGGAACACTCCGGAAACCAGAAGGGAGACAAAGGCCCAACAGAAATTGATAAAAACCTTCACCTGCCCCTGGTATGTTCAGGAATACAGAACTGTTGAAACAGGTGCTGCTACAGCTGCATGCAGGGGTACAGCTTTGCCTATTAACTTGTCATTTGCCAGGCCATGGTCTCCATCATATCCTGATAGAACACAGCGTTCAAACTCCAGGCCAAGCAAGAGTTAAGCAGGGAGTTTTCTGACTGGAAACACCAATGCAAACAGCCACTGTGGCACGGTTGGGCAAGGAGGGGCCAGGCCTGGGGTAGGGCCCCTATCCTGAGCTCACCCCTGTTAGGGTCCCTTGCAGTGCCCATGCTGCTCTGCCTGTCAGCTCCTTGCAACATTAGAAACAAATTTTTGTGGAAGTGGCATTGTTTTGCTGGAATGATTTTATATGCAGCTGATTTCAAGGCAAGTAAGACTATAAGACTGAGAAACACTAGTATTCAAAACTGGAATATTACTTCCTAGTCTAAACTTCCATTAGAAATTTTGCTGAGCTGTTTTGACAGTTTTTCCAGGTCCTTTGCTCTTGTCGCATGACTCTTGGGCCCTATTTATTACAACTACAGAGGCAAAATCCCTCAGGGAAGGTGGTCCATATGCTGGATCTGGAATGAAATAAGATAATACTAGTGTGCCTAGTTTAATGCCTTCACTGGTATAAAAGTATGATTAAAAAGGGACCTTAGGACCAGTTTTATGGTACCAACAAGAACCGGTATCAGTCTGGCCTTAGAAATCAAGACAGTTTTAGGGGAGGAGAGGGAAAGAACACTGCAGACTGAAATGAGCAAATCAAGTTAAACATGACCATCAATCAAGTTAAATTTTGCCAGTTGCTGGGGACACTTCACAGCACTGAACAGCTAAACAACAGTTATTGTTAAGAAGCTCTGGGGAGGCAAACAGCTGTCACTCCCTGCTGACCAGAGCACATCCAGCGGTATCTGGGCACAAGGGTCAGAGCAAGCTGGGGTGTGGCTGGTGCCCATGTGGGACAGATGTACTCCATGCCTCCCCAGGGCTCCCACGGGGCACACAGGGCATGGCTTGGGAACGATGGGTAGCTCAGGAGGACCATGGCTGCCAGAGTTCCCAGTGAATATCACCGTCCTCATCCTCCATGGTCAAATTCAGCACAAGTGGCAAGGCTTGCCCCAGGAATAAAAGTGATTTATGTGATAGACACAATGCTAGTTTTTAATGACAGTGGGATTTTTTAAATAAACAACAGCTAAGTTCTGGAAGTGTCAAAACATATCCCTCTGCAACTAGGAATTTACAGACACCACAAGCTACATGGCTTATTTTTTGCTCCCCCTTTTCACTGCCCCTTCTACCACTGACCTTTATAAAAAACGGAAGTTAAATAAGAGAAAAATAGCTTTAATGAAACATCAAGGTTGAGAAATCAAAATCAGACACTCCAGCAACAGGAAGTTTCAAAAACAGTGTTTATAACAGCATCTTGCTGAACAGTGGCATGCTTGCTTGGCTTTTTCCTTAAGTTTTAAGCAATATTATAGTGTACCTTGACGCAGCAGCTGGGCACAAGGATAGTATTGTGGCATTAGTTTAACTTTGCAAAATTTCCTAGGCATAGAAAAGTGTATTGAACTCAACCCCTGAACAATTTCCTGACCCCTGCAATCAGTGCTACAACTTGTGTCTTTCCGGTAAAGGCATCTGAATTGTTTCCCTGTGCAAATACACTTCAGCTTGTTTGTTATTTTATTCTAGGGCGCTGGAGACAGTTTTGTGGGAGCACTGGCATTCTACCTGGCCTACTATCCCAACTTATCCATGGAGGAAATGATCAGGAAGTCTAACTGCATCGCATCAGTGAGCGTCCAGGCACCGGGGACACAATCTTCATATCCTTACAGGAAGGACTTGCCTCAGGACCTTTTCTAATTGATTGTCTAGCTTGCTGTACTGATTTTATCTCATACCAGACAGCATTATTCTCCTGACTGCACTGAGGTTCTCCTCTGCTGACTGGAAAGGCCAGCAGAGTCTCTTTGCTTCTCATTTCAGGAATCCTGTGTGTGTTCCTATTCTACAGCAGTAAGATGGGGTGCGGGTGGTGGATCTTTCAAACACAGCTCGGCAGGTCTGTCTGGCCCCACACAGTGTGCTCTATTGAACTACATGAAGTTTACAGAAAAACACCTGGAGGGTATTGGGCTCCTGACAGGATTTGTACTTGATTTTATCAGAACTGCTTGTGTGAAATGGCAGCACATGAAGCATTAGCTTTGAGACTACACCTTCAGTGCTCAAACACCAGGGCTGGTGTTTGGCTCACAACAAAGCCCCATATATTGAGCCTATGCCCATCTGTGCCCACGTGCCTCAGGTGTGGCACTGCACTCTGCTTCCCCACACTCGGGAAGGTCCCTCCAACTGCAAACAGGACAGGACTGCTACTGAGGTAGACTTTGAAAAATGTTTCTAGCCACATTGCTCTAAACACAGGCAAGCTAATTAAGGAAGAAAAGCTTACAAGAACATCAGGGAACTACCTTGTCTGTTTTCTTTATGTTTGACAAAAATCCAGGAATGAAAAATCCATCCTACTAACCTGGCTGAAAATAAAACTCATTTAGGTTCCCATTCCTTCTTTCCTCAGAAGGAGCTGGTGCAACATTACTCCTCCAAGTAATGACACCAGCTCGTGGTCACTAGTGTCGTATCTGTGGCTGATAGGTTAGAAAAACTTGCAATCCTGCCATTGAATTCCTGCTGTGGAAAATGTTAATTTTTATTGCTTTATGAAACAATAGTTCCTTTGAAGATTACAGCCTCTTTCACAATAGAAAACACAGACAATGGGATTTGCTATTTAATTTTTTTTAATTGAGCACTGTAAAAATAACTCAAAAGATAAATAAATGTTACTGTGATGATCTATGTCCAGACATTAAGAATTTTCTCTCTCTACATTGTTTTATTCACAATGGCCTTCAAATCACAGGAGATGGTGATCCCAGTTCATTTCCTCTCTTTTCAGCCCATGTTGCTGGATTTCTGATTCAGTGTTCACCCCATCCTCCCCCCAGACCATCCTCTTCTCATGTATAAATCAAGTCCAGTCATTGTTCACACAGAACGAATTTTTCTCTTCTCTGTGAAGAGGACACGTTGTTTTGCTACAGGGGAAAAAAAAAAAAAAAGAAAAAAGAATCCGTTAAGAAGCCTGAAGTGTTAAAATTCAATTCAACCAGCCCACGTCCCTTTTCTCCTGGCTGCCTTCACTGCTTAAGTGAGTGTGGAGCAACTGACTGGCACAGCACTGTTGTTAACCAACTCTTGAAGGAGTTTCGTGGTGCTTTCACTTTACCACATGTAATTTTTAGTTCCTAAGATGTCCACTTTACCTCTGTGAGAATAAGTGTCAGAATGCAAGTGACTGAAAACACTCAACAGCTGCTCTGTGTGACTATTCTGAGTCACAGCTGTTCCATGTAGGGACAAAAATAGGTTCTTTCTGCTTTCTACTACTCTTAACTCCAGAGCCCAAACAACTGCAGATGATGAGTTGGATCCAGTTGGCCTCACAGACTGACTGAGAACTTAACCAATTGTCCTGTGGATCTCTCAGTGAGGCACAAACTGGCTGTGACCACAATGCCTGATGCAGGTGTTAGGAAAAAAAAACCTCCAAGGGCACGTTATGCATAGTCAATACCTTAATAAAAAACAAAAATTACAAATAAAGCAAAGCAAAGCTTTAAAATGCCATCTGAAAGTCAACTGTTTGGTTAGTTTCATTATATGAATTCCTTTGAAAGCTGCGCAAGAGCAATCCACACAACAAAATCTCTTCTTCCACAAAAAAGTTTCGTTTTAAGAAATACTACAGATAGTACAGATTCTGTTGCTGCAGTTAGGAGGTAGTGAAACTTGGGCAAGCCTGCCACTACTTCACTAAAAAGCTTAATTCTGTGGATGTCCCAGGTTTCTGAAAAGTAGAAAAACATAAGGTGAAAACACATGCCAAGTGAAATGCTTCCAAACATATTCCTGATGTGAGTTGTTATCTAGACTCAAATTTACTTCCCTTCACACATGCAACACTTTCTCACATCAATTTCTCACTTGTGTTCTACTACAGGCTACAAAGATCAAAGCTTTCTTCAGCAACCTACTACATGTTCTGAGTTCTTCTCTTTCTTCACTTCCCTACAAGTTGCAAAGCTTCTGGAGGATCACTCTGCACAATGTTTCAATGCAATAATTAATTTTTCTTCTTCAAGAATATAATCCCAGAGATCTCAGATTCCCCTTCTGTGTGGAATTCAAAAGGAAAGCCACAACCTCTGTCACCTTTGAAAACTGCATATTGCTTCTCTGGTGGTTTCTCTCGCTTCTCAAAGCTCCTGTACTCTTGGCTCTGAGAATGAAAAGGTAGCTGTCTAACAAGAACATTTCAAGAAAAAATAAGCTTGAATCATATAACCACTGGCCATGCATTATCTACTTAGTGCTGCTTAATAAATTTCTTATATTCTACAACTTTATATAAGCCATTTTGCATTAGCTACACTATGTTATTTCTAATATGGTTTGGTTTAAATTCTAAGTTTACCTACATTAAACTTTTTAACATTAAATTCACCTTTTTAATGCTAGCAACAGAAACTTGAACCCTTAGTCGCATTTCAAAAAGCTGGGTGAGCAAAAGACAGTGTGGCAGGTGCTATAAACTGTCCAACAAATCAGATTTTTAAACTGAGAAAATCTGAAAGGACCAGGGGAACATAAAAGAATCCACTAACTGCCATCTGGAGAGTGATATCATTTGTGGAATAGGAAGAATCTGTGCCTATTTCTTTAGAAGAAAAAGTCCATTTTGTAAGAGGTGGTTAAAATTTCTGGTCTAGAGCTCCCATGGCAGCTTAACAGAACACTTCTGTTGATGCATACTTTGTGCCTGCTTGTTGGAGGTAGCACAGTCTAGCAAACCACACAAAGAAACAGAATGAAAGAACTCCTGTGTCACTTGACTTCGCCAGTGACATGTGGCATGGCTGTCATCAAAGTCTCTGATGTGTCAGGCAAGTCATTACTTTGTTTCACTGCCACAATCTGTAAAATGAGGGTAACATTTACTTCCCACTGGAATGTCATGAAGAACAGCAAGCGTACAGTCATTTGAGTATGAAACATGTTATGACATATTCTGCTTAGATGGGAAAAATCCTGTTGCATTCAAATCTTTTCTCCCACAGAGTCAGAGAAGCTCACACAAAGCACGCTGACTTCTTCCCTGAGCTCTTACCGATGGGATCGTATCTCAGCAAGACCAGTTTTTCCTGCAGTCGGAGTCTCCTGATGTTGAAGCAGTAGCCTGTCTCCGCAGCGCTCTTCATCCTCACCAGAATGTATCTAAAGTCACAAGGGATGTCTCTGTGTCAGTGAGGGCCCAGCGTATCTGCCAGGGCACAGGCCAATGGACAAGCTTTCAGCACCCACAGCTTGGCACAATCACATAAGAAACTTCATTTCAACTTCAGGGATGGGAATATCAAAACTACATATGCTAACTTTTAACACAGACAAACACTAAACCATAAGCTCCAGCAGCAAGTTTAAGTAAATAATTCCTCAACAGGATACAAGCCTAGAGAGAAGTAACTCCTCTAAAAAACAGTGAGGTGGGAGGAATAAAAACAGGAGAGACAAAAAGAAATTAGGAAAATCAGCATACAGTTGAGTCACTAAGGCTTAAAAGCTAAGGGCAAGAGAGGAAGGATGACGGTAGTTAAAGATGTTCAGGCTGTAGATAACACTGTATCACAGACTATCACTTCCTCATGCAGAGAGGAAGCTAAGCAGATAGGCTGGCACAAGAGGCATGCGAAAGGAGAAGCAGAACCCCTTGGCACCATCCATCCTGCTAGAGATAAAAAGCTTGATATTAACCCAGCCAGGGGAATCCCCTTCCCCACTGGAGGGCTCTGGGTTTGCGGGGCAGGCTGGCAGCAACTGCGGTGTCGCGGGAGCAGGAGACTGAGGAAGCTGCTACACACCCCAGTCTGGAAGTAAGCCAAGATCCAAGCAACTTCCCAGACAGAGGGCATCTTCTGAAGTTTCAAAAGAAATGTTAAACCCTTTAACCTGTCTGTAAATTACATCATCTATTTCAATGAAGAGATGGATACATCTCAGCTAATTTTCCATTTTCCTGTATTTTCCTGTTTCTAACACAAAATGGTCTGTCAAAACGAACCTGTTCTTCCTCACTTGTACAGCTCTGACCAGTTACTTCCTTAAGCTCTTCGTTTTCAGCTTTGCAATCTAATTTACTATTGAGTTCAAAATAAAGAGAAAGACACTGGATTCCTGAAGACAACTGACCGAGCATATCCTTGGGATTATCCCTGGTTGTTGTCCTCTCCTGTACACTACTGCAGGTGTGCTGTGAAGCTTCAGTAACCACAAAGACTCCTTTCTCACTCACTTCCTCAAAGCCTCTGTGCAGTTTCCCCTTTCTGGGGGAACCAGTGGCATCAGTGTGGCCAGGCCTTGAAATTCTTGTGCACCACACATTTGAAGCCAAGCCCATTCTAAACAATACACCTTGCTCAAAAAAATTACTCCCCTGTGAAGGAATGTAACAAGAGCAGAGGCAGAAAACACTAGAAAGCTGTCAGGGCACAAGAAGAAACCCAAGGGGAGTGGAGAAGGATAAATAATATAAGAACATATTCCTGGAGTGCGTATGGGACTGTAAAAGAACAGAAAGAAACATCGGGATGAAAAATAAAAGAGTGTGTGTGGTAAAAATCCCTACATTAACATTAGTAACACCATTTTAAAAAGCTATCTTTTCACCTTGCAGAAACCTCCTGGTTTGCTTTGTTTGTTTTTATGAACAGATAACAGTAGAACAGTGAGATGTCAAACTGCTCTCTGTCAGGCACATACTTGGGAAGTGCTTTAATTTAAAAGCCTGACAATTGTGCAGAAATTCTGTAATAGAACAATCTGCACAAATGTGGCAAGTGGTTGGTACTGGCTCTGCTGGGGCAGATTCTTAAAAAAACCAAAATACAGAAAATGTTCCAAAGGCCATAGATCCCAGGCCTGGGTGGTATCAAGTGTAAAACGCTCACAAAGAATGCACCTTCTGGGAATGGGAAGATAGGAATGTGTTCACATAAATGTACCAGTTTAGCCTCTTGGATTTGTCTAGCTAATTTTATTACAAAGAGCATTTTGGATGCAAGTCAGTTTCTCCACATGATCTTGTTTCCTTGTGCCCACATTGTAAGAGCACTGGTGTGCTCAAAGTACATATTCCTTTCTTTCCAATCTTAACGCAGGTCAGAGGACTGTGACTAATTTTCTTCCAGAGCCCACTACCATCTCTGCTGAGCTGGACTACAGAGCAAACTAAGATGCCCAGAGCCAACAAAGAGCCACACTGCACCTTAGTTTACTCTCCTCAGCTAAAAAGGTATGACAGGTGAACAACAGGAAAAATACTTGGATAATTTACAGCCTGTCTTTAATCACAGAGCACAGAGATGTGCTCCACCCCGTGCAGGGCACTTTGGAGATTACTGCTGAGCTCAATGCGACAGCCCATAGGACAGAATCTGCCTTTGCTCCAATTTCAGAACCCATGGGAGAGTTTCACACCATTCTGTACTTACCTGTGAGAAGACATGCATACAGAATGGCTAAGAGGATGCAGCTAGACTCAAAGACTGGAATTCTCTCAGGCATATTAAAGAAAAATCTAGAGAAGCTTAACATTTTGTAAAGATACAACATAACAGTAATCAAAAACTGGTGAGGAAAACCATCACTTACTTAGATTTGCTCTTGGCCACTGGTTGTTTGTTTTTTTGTTTTTTTTCCAGCATGAAGAAGAGAAAAACAGAAGAAACAGTTACCATTTTATCTTGTTTCCTTTATACGCAACATACAAAGATTAAGTGTGTTCCATGGCCTGACTCTGCTAAAGCCCCAGAGCGATAGTGCAAAGAGATTTACTGTCATGATAAAGCACCACTCATTCTTCCACGGGCTGTCAGCTCCCTGCTCTTTCTGCCATCATGTCACCTTTATAAGTGTCTGTGCAAAAAGCTTGCTCAGCACGACAGGCTGCACTTGCTGCACCCTCCAGATGTTCTCAGGAAGTTTTCAGCTTCAGAGCCGAGTATGAATTCTCTGGGTGAATGTGAAGTTAAGACAGGTGTGAGTGAGGAGCACTGCTGGTGGAAACGGCAGTCCCAGTCTCCCGGACTTGTACCCACCCACTCCGGCTTCGGTTCCTGCTGTGGCGCCAACACAAGGGTTGGCATGGGACAGTGCAGAGCAGGGAGCCCTTCCCAGCTCAGCCCGACCTTTCCACGGGCCTGCTCTGGGTTCGCTGATCTAACGCGCAGCACAGCATGAAACAGGCTGAATTATTTTTCTGTCACCTCACTGAATTTAAAGTAATCATAAATCAGTCTCGTTTAGGTCACACTGCCCTTCCCCCGGGGCACGCTGGGAGGCCCCGCGGCCGAAGGAGGGGAAGGAGGGGAAGGGTCGGGAGGGGTCGGGAAGGTCGCGCCGCCGGGGCCGCCCGCCAGCCCCCACCGCC